AAAACTTCGTCTCTCTTTCAAAAATCAAATTTTCATCCATTCACCAAGACACCTTACATTGTGTTTCATAGGTGCATTCGACCTAAAGCAAACTTTCTCGTTACAAATACGACATTTAAAACTTTAAAAGGCAGCACTGCGTCTTTTAGCCAAAAGTCAACGCCGTCGTCTGAAGATTCATCTTCAAGACTCTATAATAAACTTTTAAATAACAAGAACCTTAGAAAATATGCAAATCAATTTCGTACAAAACCCACTTCTCATATAGTTTCATTTCTTATTTTACATGAATTAACCGCCATCATACCAATTCCTATTATTTACGTCTTCCTTTCCACAACCGGGATTGAAATTCCTTTTTCGCAATCAGTTTTGGACGAAGGGAACGAATTCATTAATCGTGTTGTGGTTTATTACGGTTACGAACCTTTTGAGAATGGCAGTAGAGTTGCCCTGAATTTGGTCACGAGTTATGCGATTGTTAAGGTAATTTTTTAGTTAATTTGCTCTCTATCACACTTAATTCTCATTTAATTTATGTCCATATTTTAAGTTTTTGTTGCCTGTTCGCATTGCAATTTGTATCTGGTTGACACCTTGGACTGCCGAAAGAATTATAAGTCCTGCCACCGGATTGGTTAGACGATTTGTAAAAACAAAGTAGATGTATTTGTCCTTTTTCAGAAGTTCTGTATTACCCTTTCATATTTTGATGATACATGTCACCTCTATTTTTACACAAACACATTCAATTAATCGGGTTAGATCTATTGAGTAAATCCTTGATGTGATCACGAGTAGCATCTTCCAAGACTTCATAAATCTCTTTACACCCCTTAGCAGCTGTCCTCATGACATTTTCGAATTCATTAACTTGGAGACGTGAATCTAACTTTAGTTGAACATAAATTCAAACAATTCGATTACAAAAGGAACAATAAAGCACACTTTTTTTTTTTATTGAATATATCATACCTGGAGTAAGGTAACCTTTTCGGATTTTGGTAACAAAGCAACAGTTAATTCTGGGGTGTCAAATGACTCCTCGGTGTTATTTAGATCTAGAAAACATGTCTTAGGATGGATTAGGTCTTTAGTAATACGGAATCTCTGAGGTTTCATTTACCAAGTAAAATCGTGTTCTCTATGATCCCAGCAGAACATGCACAAACGTACTCCAGCATAGGTATTCCTGCGTCAATCAAAGCCAAGGTAGCGGCGTTGATGCATATTTGGATGATGCCTGATGAAAAATTCCAAAAAACAATTATTTAATGAAAAGAAATTATGCTAATACATATCTGTCAAAATTCATTCATCACCTCCGTCGAATTGCAATATTTGCAGATAAATATCAATTTGGGATCTGGCAAATAAGCTGGTCATTATAACTGGCTCGAAAGTTTGTTTAACTGCGGATGCAATCTCTAATAATCGTCTAGGTTAAATAAGCCATGATATGTTAGCGAGGGACAATTTGAAATTGAAAAGATAATTGATAGATACTTGTCATATTTCGTTCTCTTTTTTCTTTCCGACATACTAAAGGGTGCTAAGCTGAGTTCTACATTAATGCTTGCTTTGTTATGTATCACCTGACCCTTTTGCCTGGCCTGGCATCACGTCGAACGAAAATAATTAATATGGCGAAGAAAAAGCCTTAGGCGCGATAACCGGTCCATTAATGCAAACCTCTCTCGGCCCGTAAACAGCTGCTAGGCATTTTGTATTTCCTTGTTCGATGTAGGATGATCCGTCTGCTTGACTTAATACTGAAGGTTTACACTTTATTTTCCTTAGTTCATTAGCCCGGCGACCATCTTGCCGAAGTCCTGTGTATTTCATGAAACAATTATTGTTTTTTGCGTTTTCTCATTATCAAATTTCACAACTAACCTTGGGGACCTATTAATTCTTGTCGAGACTGTCATAGTAACGAATAAGGGTGTCGGCCGAAAGTAAATCGCTATTGAATAAAGGAACCTTTGAACAAAGACAAAACTCACCATTATTCGAAACTTGAATGAGTTGAATGAGTTTTATGTGGATCGACCAAAATTCTATCCGATGGTATTACCACTTCCAAAGCTGGCATGATAATTGGTTAGAACGTCAAATGCACGCTTGATAATTTCTAATCTAACAAACAAACATGATAAGGTTACAAAGATGCATATACTGTATAAAAAGATGCTTGTTATTGGTTCCCGATTTCGATTTACTCTTCTTCCACTCCGAATAATTCACAAAAATGACTGTAAACTTACAAAGGTTTGTCGAACGGTTAATCACCGTATACACTGCACCAAACGAGTTTCAGGAGAGTCGTTTCTTACTCATCCTGAAGTCCAACATTATAGTAGGAATGGAGCTTTGGCTTCAATATAAAAAGCGCACAGCAACTTACCTGAAACCTTATGACGAAAATTCAGCAAAGGAAGAGTGGGATGCTTCACCAACATCCTCATGTGGTATGGATGCATTCGTCACACTATTAAACCCGGTTTCGTATAATGCTCATTTATTCGAGTGTCTCGCTGAAGTTGTCACTCCTTCGCGTGAACTGGTGATTCGATGGATGGCGCCTTATCTCCGACGTTTCAGCAAATACATTCCTTCTCAAAATATGTGGCTTTGTGATCAGAGACGCATGGGTCCAGAGTACATGAATCGTGACGTTGGGGAAATGTACCTGAGACAGGGAATATGTGAATGTGTAGATGTATTGAGACAATTTAACGGAAGGGAAGAGGTGATCAATGTTGCTCTCGAGGTCCTGGAAGGTGCTGAGATGCCCACATATTTGAAGGTCATGTTAAGAGGAATTTCTGATGAGGAATCTCCTTGGTAAAATACATCATAATAATTAAAAAGTCATTAATAAACACACCTCAATAATTATTCGCATTTCAACACATCACTTTGGAAGCAAACCTTTTCAGATGCTACTATTATATTTAACCTAGTTAGCATCTTGATCAAAAAACAATTTATTGTCAAAATAATAAAATAATGATATTCGACACGAACTTTTTTTTTTCCCTGATAAACCTTTCCTTCTTGCATTTAATTTTTACACTTTTCAAATTAAGACTTGATCAAAAGTTAAACTGTATATTATTATCGATAGAACAAAGTTATATAAAGTTACCTTTAAATAAAAATAATGAATTAAAATCATTATAATAAAAAATAATTTTATAAGAATTATAATTATCTATTTTATTTTTTGGATATTATTTAATAATTTTGTATTAAATTAAATTTAAATTATCAAATAATGATTTAATTAAAAAAAAAATTTATATCTAATAAAAAAATTTGAAATTTGAAATGATTATTTTTAACATCTTTTTTTAAAAAATAATAATTATTAATAATTATTATTTAAAACTTTATTAAATATTATAAAGTTATTATTTTTTTATAAATAGTTAAAATTAAAATTAATTTATGTTTATTTTTTTTATTCTTAATTAGATTGGTTATAAATAAATAAAATCAAGTTCAATAAAATTATCTTTATAAATTATATGTTATAAATCCAAATTAAGCTTTTTAATTTAATATTTACTATTTTTATTATTTTTTATAAACTTGTATATTATCTTTTTTATTTTATTTATCTTATTAATATATGTTATTAAATTTAATTGTTTTTTTTTTTATATAATTTAATTTTTTGAAATTTAATTTTTTATATTATATTTTTAAAATTATTAAGCTAAAGTTTTTAAATTAAAATCTAAATATAATTTTTTAATAAAATTAAATAATTTAATTAATAATTTTTTTGATTAATATATTATAAATTTTTTTTAAAAAAAATTTAAATCTTAATTAATATGTTTTTATTATAATATTATATTTATATTTGATTTTTAAAATTTTTTCAAAATTTAAGTTGATTTTATATCAAATACAATAAATAATAAATTTCAAATAGTATAATACATTTTATTTATATACTGTAATTATTAAAAAAAAGTTTTAAAATTTTAAAATTTTTATTAATTATCTATTATAGTTTATTGATTTTATTATTATTTATAATTATTCAATATATTTTTTTTTAAATTTTTAAAACATTTATATAATTTTAATTAATAATATACCTATAAATATCTTGGTTTGAATTTTAAATTAAAAATACTATTTATAGTTCTAAGTAATTATTTATAAAAAAAATCAAACTTAATAGTTATATTAATATTTTAAGTAATTTTATATTTAAACTTATAAATTAAATAATTATTTAAATATAATAAAAAAATATTTTTTAATTAATTATTATATGAATAAATAAATTACATATAAATAAATAATATAATATAATACACAATTAAAAAAAAAAAAAACTCTCACCCATTTACCACTGATTTCTTAAAAATTTTCTTTTATAGTAATTTTCTTAAAAAAATCTTTTTCTTTTTTCTCTTCAATATATCAACTATACTATAAGCTCAAAAATATAAAAATTTTAAGAATTACTATTGTATTGGAATATAATCTTTGGTCAAAGGCCAAATAAGTTTAAAAGGCTTATTTATTCTTTGATTGTATAAAAAAAGGTCTATAACAGTTCTTCTTCTTAATTTTGTATTTATGTAATAATCTTGGATCACATGCTATAGGACCCAGATCACCTTGATGACCCAGATCCTCCAGATTAGCCTGATCAGCCACATGAGAATGACACAATACTAGCCCCTGACAATGCAATCCCATAGTCACATATATACATTTTCTAACTCGGAATGACTATGAAATAACTATGAGATAATATTACCATATATAGATAAACTTAGCTATAGTCATGTTTTATTCTTTTTATGTGTTTACTTTATTTACTTTGTTTATTTTCTTATTTTTCTATTTCTATTTCTCTTTTACATGTACTTTTCGTGTCAACTCAAAATGTATAAAAAGGATGCACTTTTGATCTGAATAAACTTAACTTTTTGTTTGAGTCCAATAAATATCTTTCTCTAAGTTCACTGTCTAATTGAAATCATCCATAATTTCATTAAGACTTTTACAACTTGGTAGTAGTGAATTTAAAGAACATCCCCCACACACACATACAAACACATACACCTTAAGAAAAACTCTGCCAAAATGGATACCACTCAATTTGCTACCTTTATGAAAGCCTTTTAGGAAACTATGAAAGCTCTCGCTGTTGAAAAAGGAAAAGCTACAGCGTCAAATTCTTCTTTTTCTTCCTCTTTCTTCTCTTCTTCCTCTACCACTTCTGCTCCAAAGATTTCTCTCAAAATTTCTACCTTTAAAGGAGAACTAGGAGAAAATGTTGAAGTTTGGTTATGCCAAACCAAAAACATTCTACATGCCCAAGAAGTAACAGATGAAGGAAAAATAGTCCATTATGCCGCCACTGGATTTGAAGAAGCTGCTTTTCATTGATTTGTTAACAAGATTAAGGATGCGACAGGTCCTACGTTTACTTCCTGGAACCAATTCAAGAAGGAACTTAAAGATGC